GTCAACAAGGCGATGCAATTAAAACAGAATGAAGAGAGAAATTGACATAATGGATATGGAGGTAATCAAAGAGATTGAGGGGAGGCACTGCCACTCGTGCAGCCTTCAATGTCGCTTCATTCAGAGGCGATTCCACAGATACAATGCAACATTGCATTAAAGGGCAGACACTGCTCCTGGCTTTCGCTGTGTGGCTGTGGCCATGGCATGGAAAGGATAGGAAAGGAAAGGACTCGATTCAATAAGCGTCATATTATGCTGTCTAGTCGGGTTTCAGCTGAAGCACCTCGTGTTGCATGCTGCTAATCAATCATGGCGTGCAATGTCAGAACAGAGCGGGGCGGGGCAGGGCAGGCCAGTGCGGACGGGGCTCTTCCAGCAGCTGCCTTCAATGGGCAATTATTGATTGATGCCAAGTGCACATCGCCGGATGGAAAGAGGCATGTGGCATGTAGCAGCCCGTACAACGGGTTGCACCATCTCTTTCTGAAGTGGCCCACAACCCTGATCCAGTGCCCCTTTTTCCTCTCTTCTATTACATCTTGTGTGGCTGCCGCAGCAACTGCCGCATCCTGCCGTCAATGTTAAGTTTTTCGACATTGAAATTATTCTTTTGAGGTGCCGCACAGCTTAAAGTTGTACCATAATTTGTTGTTTCCATGCAGCATTTCATGGTTTTCCCTCCTCTCCTTGTGTGTGTGTGTCCTTGAGGTTTCTGTGGTCCTGTCAACAGTTTCAGTTTCCTTCTCGTCTGTATTACTTTTGAGAAAGTTTTCGCAGGGCATCCGCGTGTGCATTTAGCAGATATTTCTCATAATTGTATGCGAATGTTTTTGCGACCCCGAACAAAATATATTTTCTGTGATTTTTCTCTAATTTCGTTTTGGTTGTGACGGAGAGAAACGTGTTTGGCATTCTCAAAGCGCAGAAACCAAACAAATTATTTAAATGACTCGGGAAAATTAAGTGGAAATGTGTGTGAGCGGTGGGTGGGAAATGAGGGAAATACGCGAGATGTAGATAAGTCGAAGCGAGGCAAATTTTAATGCCGCTCCAGAAAACCTTAGACAAATAAAACTATAAAGAAAGAGACCTCCCCGAACCCTGGAGCGGGCTGTGGTCGATGGGTCTAGGCCTAGGCGGAACCTATTTACATAAGTGCCCTCCCCCTTTGTGGAGGCGCACGTGTTTGATATTTCTTTTAGTTTTATGTCAGAAAATACACACACACACACACACGCAGACACGGGCACATCCGCCCGTTGATAATTCAATAAACTAAACAAGATTCTGTTGGAGATTTATGGGTTTGCTGAACTCGCTCTAGCAGCCAGTTTGACATTCAGCAATTTCGACTGCCTTAAGGAGGTGCGGTGCGGTTTATAAATCTTCATTTCAACGCACACAGATACACAGATACACACACGAGCATAACGACATTCCGCTCTTAGCCACTTATTAAAATGCCATTTTAGAGTGGGCGGGCAGCAGGGGCAGGAGGAGCAGCAGCAGCAGCGGTAGCGGTAGCGGCTGGTTCATAAATTGCCAACACTTATGCCCAATAAATGGCCATAAATCTGGGCAGCCGACTCGTTGGCGGCATTAAAATGCGCAACGACACGGCCACAGCCCAGGCTTGACAAAAACAAACCCCAGCCGAAAACTAGGCAACAGACAAATGCCACGAATAAAGGAAATACAAACGGGGAGGAGTCGAGGCTTTGGATACCCTTGAAGATCTGTTGTTTCAATGCTAGCTATAGATTATCGTCTAGGCTAGTAATGGCTATAGAAAATTGGCTAAGCTATGATATGGAACTACAGTTTGCATAGCTTCATTGAATTATTTCCTTCTTGTAAAAGGTGTCTACCCAAAGTCTTCTCATGGAATAGAGATTATAGGGAACACATTGTTGGTGAGAGGGTGGGAAATGCTACCTTCTCTGCGTCCAAATTCAAAGCAGCCTCTGCAAATTCCCAAGTACTCGTTATATTACGAGACAAATGCCACAAATAATAAGTACTAAGCATTAAGTACTCCCAGTGTTACGAGACAAATGCCACAAATAATAAAAAATATGTCCTGCTGATGGTGTGTGTGGGTGTGGGTGACTGGGACAAATCTCTGTTTGTTGTCGAATCATTCTCCACGGCTTAGCAGCCAAGCACAATGTAATTTGGTTTTAAAAATGCGAACATTTGCTATGCCAACTGGCCCGAGGTGCTGCTCTTAACGGGCGGACATTACACTGATGTCGCTGCCAGAGGACAGAATGGACTGGAAGGCAGTCCAAATTGATTAATTGACAGTTGACTCGTCATCGTTTTCGAGGGTCACTCTGGCTGGCAATCCTCCTCCGCCTTTTCGGCCAACATTGTGTGTCAATAATGGACATGACGTGCCGTAATAAATCCTTGGTCAGCCAATTTCACAAAACTGCATTAGATTTCGAGCCATTAGGCAGCATTTCGCCCTCCTGGCTACTCGTACTATCTATTCCTATTGGCAACATTGCCTGGACATGGACTTGGATCTGAACTTCGACTATCTACAGTTTACACATCGCTGAATGCAATTCTCGACGCTATCTCTTAGCCATTGTGAAATGTTCATCATGCAAATAAAAAAATGAATGAGCAAAAAGTGCTGCCCTACTTATGCCATCACCGAGAGAGAGAGAGTGAGTGAGAGAAGGAGAATTAGAAGCAGATTTATACTCGTACATATAGGAATATCCTTCCCTGTAGCTCTGGGCGTTGCTCCATTTCCAACCATTTCGTAGCTGTGTGGGTTTTAGTGTTTTTTTTCTCGATTTCCACTCCTAATTGAGCAATTTCCTTTGGTTAATTGCTTTGCGCGCTGACGGATTTGGACTTGGATTCAGATTCCGATTCCGATTCACTTAGAGGCAGAGACAATCTCCTCTTTGGGGAGCAGTGTCGCGCCCACTAATACTCGCGACAATCTGCTCTTCCTCGGTCAATTAATGCGCCATAACCAATTCATAGACAAGCGAATTGAAATTGAAAAGCGGTGAAAAAGGCGATAAAGGACACCTCTCGAGCAACGGATACAGCATTCGTTCATATGCAAATGCAGTCATAAAACGTGACACTTGCCGTCAACTTCAATTTGGCCAAGGCATTGACTACTGGCCATAAATACGTGTGGCGGATGACGTGCGTGTGTGTGCCAGCTACCTTTTTCTCTGGCACAAAAAGGTAGCAAATACTCAAAATGAAGCGTAATTTGCATATGGCTTTGGGGTCTGGATGGGGAAACATTGAGGATGTGTGCTTGGGGGCGGCTTTTATGCACACTCAAACAAACGCACACACACACGAGTATATGTATGTATGTGTGTGAATACCGAGAATCAAGTAGGTAAAGGTAAAAGTAAAGCCAAAAGCCCCAGCCCCAGCCACAGTCCCAGCCCCAGCAACTTGGCCTAATCTGCATAATAATAAACCACACAAACATAAAACTGGAACACCTACTCCTACTACTCCCACTACTCCTACTCGCACATAAGGGTGTACTAGCCACATTTGCAACCTCCCCGTTGGCCCGTTTTTCCATGCTTAATATTGTGTAAATTGAATTTCCATCACTTTATGATTACTTGATGCGAACTCGGATGGAAATATTCATCAAGTTGACTTTTGCCAGAATCCGCCATCCAGCATGGAGCCCCAGGGGTCTCTGGTACCCCTGGACCTCTGACTGCAACCAAAGTAGCCGGGCATATCCATTTTAATCAAATTGACAGCCGTCTGCAGCAATATAACTTTATTAGCAGGAGGAAATGTGCATCTGTCGATGCTCGGAGCACAGCTTAAGCCCGTCTCTGGGACCCCCATGCAGCGATGCAAGTGGGAAAGTGCCATGCGCCAAAGGACTTGTACATGCTTCAAGCTCTCCGTCCTCGAGAGATACTTGAGTATTCAAATTGAACTTGACTTTTGATTTTTTCTTCGCAGGCATTCATGGGTGTAGGAGTATTTTCTTGCACCGTCAAGGAAAAACCCACCGTTTCGATGCATTTTAAAGACTTAAATATTTGGCTTACCTTTCTCTGTGGGCTGTTCGTGGGGGCGGGGTATTGACAGTTTGCAAATGGTGTTGACACTCGTATTTAATTGATAAGTTAATTAATGCAGTTTGCTGGTGTGTTCCATTCGCTGATTTTGGCGTTTTCAATGAGGATTAAAAAATGTAATTCCAGGAAAATTCGTATTGGTTGCAGCGCTCGTACGTTTCTGCATTGATTTCCGTTTACATACATTATGCACTCCATTATGTTTGTGATCCATAAATAGGGGTTATCCGATTGTATAGTCATAGTTATAGTTTTTAGTTGATAATATCGCAGATGCATAGATCTGTACTGTTGCTTCTTGTTGTAAACATCAAAGAGTTGGTTGGCTACTTCTAGGTACACATATACATAGATACACGTAAAACTTATCCAAAAGTTGTTTGTTTGATATATAAAATGCATATCTTCTCTATATAATTCATATCTCTAACATGTATGCTCCGTCCGCAGTGTCTGTCTGAGTTCCCTTCCGTTTGCTGAGCCATTAACAAGTGCGATTGCTGACATCTTTCCGATTTGATATGATCTTATGCTAAACAATTGAGCTCTCTGGTTGCTTTCTCTATTGTCTCTCCTTTGCTCCATATCTCTTTGTCTTCCTCTGCGGTCTCTCTACTTTTCCATCAATTTTTGACATCGCTGGACATTAATGTAAACTTATTTCACTTTCGTGTACGTAGGTATATGTATATCAACAGCAATAAAACATCAATAAAAATCGGTTTTTGTTAACAACACTTTTATAAAAACGAACGCAACGTTACGACGGTTGGGTTACACATAAGTATATATATATATATATATATTTATATCTATATAGTATGTACGTATTTATGTTTATATATTTTATCGTATAGTTATCTTTATCTTTATATATTGTGTGTGAGTGTGTGTATAGATAGAACTGCTTGCTCGTATATACATTATTTATATTATTCAACACTTAAAACACACAGAGATTTACTATAACATGAAGATGTGCGGGTTAGTTCGAGTATTTATTACGATGCGGAATGTTCCAAAAATTTTGTTGTTGATTTCTCGATTGATTTTTGCTTCACAAATTCTAAAAATTTCACATCACAGCCAATGGATACTGACGATGGGACGCATTTTCCTTTCCTTCTCCTCCTGATCTCCTCCTGCTACCATTTCCGCTTCTTGGTTTTTTCCTGGTTCCGATGATGATACTGTTGATGATGGTGCTAATGCCGATGCCGATGCGGGTGCGAATGCTGACTGACTAACAATTGAAGGGCCTCTGTTATCCATCTGGGAAGTTGCCGGGTCCCAGCTGGAGCATGTCTCATTTGGGCTCCTCGATGGTCTGGCCGACCACAATGATGATCACGATGAACACCGCCAGCAGGACGAGGATGCAGCAGATGGCCACAGCCACCATCGCGCTGTTACTCATACCAGGGCTCTTTAGTACTCCCGGTTCACTCTCGAAATGGAATCGAGTCGAGCTAACTCACTCACTCGATGATGTCTGATTGATTCGAATCGATGGCACGATACTCGGCTATCTCTCTGTCACTGCAGTTGTACGCTGTATCGAAAAGAGAGAGATGTCGGGGGCATTTGCATATTTCCAGGGACTGACAGTGCGACTGGGGACTGCCTTGTCTGTGCACAGTTGAGATTATCGGACCATTCACTGGGCAATCACTTGTCATAAGTTCCTCCCCTACCGCCCTTCCGCCTGGCTCCTGGCACTGACAAATACCCATCCATCCAAACACCCATACAAAAACCCGGAGAAACAAATTGCCTGCCATAAATCGAGAGGGCGGCCTATCAGACGCTTGACTGGGCATGAAATGCCTGCCCGACCAGAGGACCCTGACAGCCTGTGGACAGCCAAAAACTTGTCGCCTTTTTGTGCTCCGTGCGTGAGTGGAGGGGCTCACAAGTGGGAATTCGCCCAACAAAAATCACAGCCCATAAGCCCGACCCAAGCTGTTCGGGGTTCGGTTCCTTTTGTCTCTAATCTGAGGCCCTGTGTGCCACTGACAGAGGATTAATGTTGGCCCGTGCTGCACTTCCTGCCAGCCAAATGCAATATCCAGTATCGATAGCTAGTGTCCTGTCTAATAGCTATAATGTCAAAGCATTAAACTGGATGACAAGGCTGCAGCCTGGCCTACAGCACGTATACTTAATTGTAAGTTGAGCACGGTCCGGGCCCGGAGGGGCAAAAAAATTCAATTACATCGAAACAAAACTCGACAGGCCCTCGATGTGATTCAATGTAAAAAAAATTGAAAAAACTACACAGTATGAAAATAATGAAAAGTAATAAAGGAGGGTTCGCTTTTTCCAGGTCGAGGCGATGTATACACTTTAAACTCGTACAACTATGTATGTGTTGGCCTTCATAATGGATCACTTTGAAAACTGATTGGTGCTCGAACCACTTCCGTTTCTGATTAAAGCATCCACAAGTGGACATACCCTTTTGAAGGGTACAAAAACCATCAATGTAATGTTTGTTTTCATTTCTCTTTCAGCACAACAGCGAAAATGGCTCTGGGCGATGACATTTCGCAGGAACCAGACAAGCAATAACAACACCAACAGCTTTTGCTACCAACTTTTGATAAGTTTTCGCAATGCCAAATGGCAGGTGAACGGAATGGAATACACTCGTAAAAAACTAATGCAGCCCGTACCGTACTGTTACTGGGGCACGAATTCAATTCAGTGGGAAAAAGCCTCGACTAGACCTTTAATACGAAGTTAAGGCGATGGGCCCGCCCTAAGCTAGGGGCGTATTATTTATGTACTCGGAGACCACTTGCGGTGCGTGTGATGTCCAGAGGTTCGGCCGTCTATTAGGCAGACTTTTAATTATGCCGCTCACGCAAAATAATTTGCCTTCTCCGGCTGCGTGGACTCGTCATTTGCAGGCCCTTCAATGTTTGTGGCAGTTTCTATTTTGGCCCTTTGTCCGTTTGATTTCGGCCGCAGAGCCGGGACTGTTGCGACTTTTAAAGGCTGTGGGCTATTTAATATATACTTGTATATTTTCCTTTTTATTTAAGCTCATTTGTCGTCTGGTCAGTGTCGCCCTTTTAGGTTCAGTAAGCCACTGCCACTAACTGAGTTTCGTACCTTTCGTGCCCATTTCTTTGCACTCGGCTCTGTCCCATTGAATCGGTCAATTAATATTAATGAAATGCCTTCCTTCCGCCAACCCACCACCATCACCACCACCACCACCACAGTGCATACATTATGCCTTCCTGTCTGCCTTTTTCCATGTATGTGTACCTACATATGTGTACGCTGCTTGTGTGCATAATTTCCACACAAAAACCGTAAAAAAAATATTTAAAATTCACCTCTGTTAGGGTCGGGACTTCCTCAACCGAATTAAGTTGTAATAAGTCAATTTATCAGGGTTTTTTAAGCTTATACTTGTAAGCCCCCGGGCATATCAATCAATCAAATTATGTTCGCGGAGTAGGAGGCGTAATATGAAATGAAAATGCAGCTGCCTCTGCCGCACCGCACCGCACCGCACCGTCCAACGTGCCGTATGCGCAATGTGGCCAAATGCTTGTGGTTTATGGCTGGGCGATAAAAGGCCGCAAAGATATTTTATTTTTGTTTACTGTCTGGCAGAGGGGGAGGAAACCGGTGAACACTCGAAAAGATTTACAACACATTGCACTGACACATATTGTGCGGCCGTCAGAGTTCTTCCCGTCTTTGAGTCTTAATTAAATTAGCGCCCCCATAGAAGAGGCAGCAGGCGCCGAGCCACAGATAGAGACAAAGACAAGATGACAGCACAACAAAACTGCCACCGAAAATGCCAGCACAAAGGAAACACCATGTCACTGGCTAGATATGGGCTCATACACAATGCCTATTGGTGTACAAATGCGAGTATGTCTGTCTTTGTTGTGAAATAAAATAAAAATAAATTTTTGCAATTTCGTAAGTTTTATGCGCACATTTGCGAAATTTGTTTATGCTGTCGAATAAAGACTTGGGCGTGGATATGCGTGGTTAGAGTGGGAGAGATCATAGAACAAATGGCCCATGACGCAGAGGGAAAGCCTCCAGGACACAGATGGGTACAGATGCGTACATGGAAACGGGGTAGAGGCTGACTATGGGATAGGTTAGAGGTTAGGCAAATGGCACCCCAGGGTGCGTGGGCATCCCAGTGCCAGGGCCAGTGACGTTGGCAACATTCTTTTGCCCTGTTCTCTCTCGTCTCGTGTGCGCTGAAACATAAATTCAATTTGTTTCGCCCCCACAAAGAACCGTTGAAGGGTTAACTTAACCCTTGCCAAAGTGAAAATTATGGAAAATTGCATTGCCCAGAACGCCAGGGAACGACAGGGGGAGAGAGCGAAAACCGTTTGCGAAATGAAATTGCATGCAAAATTAAAGCAAAGCCGAACCTTTTGTCAAGTTCAACTGCAGGGATGGATGACCTTGGCAGTCGCCGCTGAAGAAGTCCTCTCCGCCAAGTACCGTTGACTGTTGGAAGTGTGTGTTTGTGTGTCAAAACAATGACTAAAATGCTTGAACAGAGCTTTAAGGTCTTGTCTTGCAATGTCAAAAGTCAAAAGTGCATTAAAATAATTGCACTTGCAGGCAACGAACGGCTCTGATTTATAAACGCGCACCAATACACATACCTCTTCCTGTAATGCCCCTCTTGTTCAGCTATTTCTGTGCATCTATGTGGGGGGCCAGCACATTTCCGCCTTCAACTACACTTAAACTTGATTTTTGTAGTATATCTTTTGTCTTAGTTCTTTAGACAAGCGAGGGTCTCAGGGCTCACATTGTGGCCCCACATGAATGGAGGGCCTATGAGTGTGTGAGTCTCGTATCTATGTGTGAGTCAGCCTCGAGACGGTGGTCCCTTAGCCTTGTCATGGCCCGCTGCTTCCTGACCCCAGCTTGTTGCATGTTTCACGTTTGCTTTTATGTAGGAGATTTTTAAAGCATTTTTCCTCTACAAAAGACAGATTTTTGTTTTTTGTGAAATGCCCTGGGAGCGTGCGACAAAGATTAATTAAATTCCCAACTTAAAGTCTTCCTGGGAAAACGTCTAAAATTTAAGCAAAAAATCAATCGAAAGCATGTGGCATGAAATTTCCCGGAATTATGTGGAATATTCAAATCGAGTTTTGTTTGCCATTTGCATTGGAAATGCCTGTGGCTGTGGCCACCTGACGACTCTCCGTTTCAGCCTTGTTTATTTATAAATTCGATTGGCAATGTGTATTTGGACCGAAAAGTTCATTAGGATGAATCGCCACCTCATCGCATTTTATGGTTATCTCTGCGGTTTGTTTATCTGTCTGCCCTAATTATCATTGTATATCATTCATGGCTAATGGCTCGGAATGGTTCAGCCCCTCCTCGTTAAGAGTCCCGATAGTGATTTTTATTGAAATCGGCATAGTTTTCGCTTGGTTTCCTTTTTGGCTCTCCCTTGGCTCATACAATCATAATGAAGAAAGGGAAAGTTTCGCCCCTGTCCCGATTGATTAGTAGTTTGATTGAAACGAGCTCAAGTTTGAGAGCTAATTGATTAACTGAACTGACTTGGGGTTCTAGTGAGAGTGAAATTTGAAGAATCTCGAATAAACAATTATTATTAAAGCCACTTAGTGCAGGTGGCACATCAAAGGGCGGGACTGGACGAGACTCTTAATTTTTAATCAGCAAACTCATTAGCAGCATCCCGCCGTTAACTAAATATAAATTAAAGAAGGGGCCATCCGCAGCTTACATCCTGCCTTTCTATGCCCCCTTCCCCCCCTTCCCTACCCTTTCCCTTGTCCTTGTTCTTGGCCCCACTGCTGCTGCTGGTCCTGCTGGTGCTGCTGCTTGGTGAAAAGTTTTCACTTGGCAGCCGTCAAGTTGATGTAATGAAAAAGTTGCCGCATTTTTCTAGCAATATTTCTCATATCACATGACACGGACACGCGGCGCGACTGCGGAGAGCCTTCGAAACAACAAGGACTGTGCACCGGGCGCTGCTAATTAGCTTCGAGTGGGGATTCAAATACAAACAAATGTTGCCCATACGCAACAATGGGTTTATTCATGGGAAATTTGAAAAAATTCCTTGAAAAATAGTACAAAAAATAGCACTACAAAACGACAAAGGAAAAACGAAAAGAAATCTTTGTGCACATGTCAGAAATAAATAAACTTTTTCCACGGAAACACAGCAAAACGGCAGGGGGGGTGGTCATTGTGTATAAAAAGGAAATCCACTCGAAGCCGACGGGAAAACCATATGAGTAGCGAGGAATGTCGCCCCGAGATGAAGTCAGTCTGCAGCTGATTATGAAATAGCCCAAGTAAAAAACCTCATTTTTCGATTCGAGGGCGGGTCCCAGCACCTGCCAGTGGTAGCTTTGAGGGAAGCCCAAAAGGAAATTTTAATGATGCATATAAAAAACCCGGCGACGTCAAATGAATAAATAATTTATGCGTAAAGGTCCTAAACAAACGAGTGGCTGCCACATTATTTGGCAAGGTTTCTCCTCAATTTTTTTTGCCCACTTTCCACACGTAGCAAATTTTATCTCTCTATTACCTGATGGCCATACCAGTGGCAGTGGTGGGGCCTGATTTAGTGTCAGAGTTTCACCCCCGAAAAAGGGAAAGGGTTGTGATCCCTCTGACTGTGTGCTCTCGTGCATTCCTCCACTAGCTGTTCTGTTCTGTTTGCTTATCACCTGGTGGTTGGCTAGTCAAACAAGCTGCCTGCTCCACTATTTGCCTAGAACGGGGCCACGTTTCAATATTTCAGAGATTTGCCGCATGCCACGTTAACTGCATGCAAATTGCAGGAGTCGGAGTCGGAGTCGGAGTATCTTTTCCTTCTTTGGGGCCCACTGAGGCTCAAGCTTTATTTGCTCCCAGCTCTCACACGCATTCGATTAGTTTTGAGCTGGGGTCTTAGCATGAACTACTACGAAACGATGAAAGTGGGAGCTGGGAGCTGGGAGCTGGTAGCTGGTAGGTCCTTGAGGCCAAAGGGCGACCGTTCTCAAAGTTGTCAGTCGCCAGGGAGAGCCGTTGCAATCTACTTTCATCCCCAAGGACGGAAATTGAATGTTCCCAATGACATTGGCTCCAATTAGACAGCCCGGGTCCACAGCTGGACCAGGACCCATCATAACTTCTGTTAAGGACACATTTCCATCACAATTCTCGCATTATATTATATTTTTGCATTCAACATATGTATTGTGCGTGTGTGTATGCATATGTCCGTGTATCTTTTATTGTAGCAGTCCAAACAATTGCAGAGTTGTAAATCCCCCAACAATTGCCTTCATCGGAATCGTTTTGTAACCTTTCATTGCACAGAATGCTATCATTTGTTGTCCTGTGAAAGGACGTGCCAAGGAAATCAAGATTCCCAGTCCAGGGTTAACAATAAGCATGTGACTGTGCGCAAGGGTGTATTTGTAGATATGTATGGGCTTTGAATAGACAATATATGTGAATATATATGTGGGGGGGAGTACATTTATCTGACATTCATTCATTTATTCAATGTAACTCAGGAGCAAAGCAGAGACTGCTTTTAGTCGGGGATTAGCCCGCTGGAGAGTAGATTGAGTACTTCCATAATAACGTGGTGACTCGCAGACTCCCGTCTGATCAACTTGAAAGCCCCCAAATGGCTCAGGGACATTTATCTCATAATTACTGATTGAGGAAGGAGTATTTAAGTAATGGTCAATCCATGTCCTATCCCTTATAAATTTCCACTTAATTCCTTTAGAAAAAAAAGAGTACTCTCTAATGTGGTCATTGAGTAAAATACCACCTTCCAGCCAAAAACTGATCCCACGTAACCTCCGATTGCCCTGGATCAGACCCGTATCTCAAGTGTGCACCACAGACAAGGCAATTCAAAAGAATATGTATGTAAATTATTCTCAAGTTCCATTTGAATATTTACGGTTCCGAGCTAAAAGCTTTTCAAATTGATTTGTAATTCACTTTTGTCTTTCAAAGTTTTGGGTTCTTATCGTTGGGAATTAGTTTGCCGCAGCAGCAGTTCACGTTGATAACCGATTTTTGGGAGGGAACCGATTGGATTGGATTGGTTAAATCAGCATAAATATGCAAACCAAAAAGCACCAAAGCGGCCCAAGCGATAAAGCGCGAAACGAAACAAAACGCAACGCAACGGAGGACTGCAATCAGTGTGGGGAAAAATTTTAAAGTGCGCGCGAGACCGGACTTTGGGGCCTTTCGCACGATGCGATTAATGTCGTCGGCTGCTGCTGGCTGGTCTCCTGTGGCGGCTGCTGATTGTGAGGCTGAAGCTGTAGGCTGAAGCGAACAGTGTACGGTGTGTGTGGCACGGCCGACAGAAATCGACTGAGCCGATTCGGCTGCTGGCACGGCATTTAAAAGCACTCGACGAACGACAGCCACGGAGCGCGTGAGAGCGAGGACTCCAGTGATGACACACACTCGGAAAGAGAAAGCTTTTTCTTTGGCCACATTTGAATCTCGGGGCGGTCTAGCAGTCAGTCCCCAACCAATAGAACTTGAATAAATCAAATTGAATTTATGATTTCATTTCTTGCTTAGGTCTGCCCCACACCCACATCCCCATCCCCATCCCCATTCCCATCCACATCCTGCAGCCTCCGTCGCCTCGTCACGGAGCTGGGCGCCTGGATCTGGATCTGGATCTGGATGTGGATCTGGAGAGGGTGCTTAAAGTTGTTTGCCTCGAGATTTCATTTCGATTGAAGTGCTGTGGCTCAATGAGTCGTTGATTTTATTTGTTCGAGTGGCCAGGACGCCGCTTTAATCGCTCGCCAAAAAGCCTCCACTTGACACCCCGTGGCAGGTGGCAGGTAGCAGCTGCCAGATGGTGCCCGAAATCTGACAGGTGAGAATCTTGTTTGACTTTGGCTTCCGCTCATTATGCCGCCTTTGCTGCTGAGAATTTGTTTGCTCCTTTGTGTGGATAATTGCTGACTCAAGGAGACGCCTCCGCGCCCCCGCGCCTCCTAGTCGCTGTCTGCCTATGCTGCCTCTTTGGGCTAATTTAAATTGGCTGCAAAGTTGCGTCGCTTAATTCTCGATCCGATTTAATTTGCCGAAATCTCATTAGACCGAAGCAGACAGCGACGACAACATCGACGACTCTGTCTCTGTAAGATAAATGTGAATGTCTTTTTCTCCTTTGGCAGGGCTGCTGCTGGTTTGACCTGTGCCTGGGGCCGGGGCCTGGTCTGGTCTTTGACTTTCTTTCTTTCTTCTCCCGGCGCGCCATTATTGGTGGTTCTGGCCGCCAAGTCAGCGATTTATTTGAGCCAAACAAAAGGCCGTGTAACCCAGCAAACATTTGCCCAATCTCCGGGGCAGTGATAAGAGCAGGAGAGCCGTTTCCTCTTAGCCGGATGATAGCATGGGAGTCCCCCCACTGCGCATACGCGAGCTTTCAGAGAGAACGAAGCCGAGAGAGCAGGTTGGGTTCTTTGGCTTAAACTGATAAGAAGGAAGACAGAAGCAAAGTCCTCCTGGTGCCTGCATCTGTGCCCCGGCAGCGGCTGCTTCAATTGTCTTTAATCGCTGCTCAATGTCGATGATGATGGGGCCAAACGACGGCGAGAGGATTGGGGAGGGGGGAGTGGGGAGTGGGGATGGAGGGTACGTTTAACGAATTGTCATTGATTTCTTTTGAAATGGCGCCGCTTTTGTTTGCCTTTGCCTTCTGCCACATTAGGCAGCTGAGCTGCCTCCCAGAACCAATATTCTGGCACCCTGTTTATCGGGGGAATGATCACAAATTTAATCTTCTCTGGCACCGGCTCTGGCACTGGCAGCTTGTCCTAAATAATTATGTTCACATTTAATTAATAAGTTTATAGCATTAACAAAAGCCAGCCGCAGCGACTTTGCCCCGAAAAAGGTCTGCGGCGCTGTGGCATGCAATTAAGAAGGTCCGAGCCGCTCGCCACATTGTCTTCCAAGCAAACCCTCAACGCTTGACCCCAAACTTTGTAAAAATTTCGCTGTTGTTCGGGCTTTGAGAAATGAGCAAAAAAACCGAACGATGAAAAAATGTCACACAAAAAGATTTAAAGGGAAAAAAACCCCAGCTGCCCAGCCAGCACCATCCCCATCCCCAGTGGGATGGATCCTTTCCTTCCTGCCGGCAACGCACACATTTGTAGGTCATTAAATTTTTTGTCCGCCTTTGGCCGTAGGCAGTCGATACATATTCCATTCGGTACATAAATAATGAGCTCTGGTTGTCCTGTTTAGCCAGACTTTCAAATGTTGCCACATGCCATGCCACTACAGTGGGCAGTGGGCAGTGGCGGAGCGGAGCGGACACTTGACACTGACATTGTCTCAATTAGTGGTGCCACAAGTAAAGTATAGAGTGGTTTGAGTGCGTCACTTACCTGCATAGAACAAGGGCAGCAGATTGAAGATGATAACAAGCGGAAATATAGAGCGTGCAAACTTCTGCATATCCATGAAGATGCTGACTGGGGCAGGAGGACTGTGAGTGTCCGCCTTCTCGCCAGGGCTGGTGCTGTTCGAGGCCCCATCTTGATGGAGGAGCTTTCGTTGTGGTTTCGTAGAGTCTTGACTGGCATTGGAAGATAAGCGTGATAGGCGAGGACCGGTCGTGTTGCTGCTGAGGCCAGCCTGCTTAGAAGTCCCTGTAGAGGCGGCCACAGCAGCCAGAGCCAGGCATGGCTGCTGTTTAGCTGCAGTAGCAGCAGTAGCAGGAGTGGTAGCAGCGTCCTCATGTGTCCTGCCGCCGAATGCCAGAGGATATGGCTGTCCTTGCCGGCGGCCAGCTGCGGACAGCATTCCGTGATTGTGGCTTGTGGCAGCGATCTCAGGTGTGGTCCATTGCCAGGCTGATGCACCTTTATGACTTTCCCACGCTCGTGCATCATCTGTTGCAGCTCCCCCGGCCTCTGCTGCTGCTGCTGCTGCTGCTGCTTTTGTTGCTGCTCCTTTTCCTGTTTGTGCTGGCTGGCATAATGTTGCGGTTGTTGCTGTTGCTGCTGCCTCCGGTTCTCTTTGTGTTTTTGTGTGGTATAAAAAGGTTTCGCTTTGAAATTGCTTCCGTTTGTTCCTGTTGCAGTTGTTCGTGTGCTGCTGCTGCTGCAGTGTTTGTTGTAAGAGTTGTCGTGTCGTTGTTGTTGAAGAAATTGTTGTTGGTGTGTTATAGAAATGTCGTATCTGTGCTGAGGCCATGTTGTGCCCTGAAACGGTATTAAAGAAGAAGAATGGACCATTAGAGATGCTCGTTCGTATGTTACAAAAAAGTGTATGCACTTCCATCTGAAAAGGACTAAGGGCAAAAGCGGGTTGACCGATGTACACTTTTGATAATTCCAATCGCTTTGATTATCGATTCCTTGTACACCCGGGCCAGGATTACATGCCACAGCAGCAGAGCGAGAGAGTTGCCTGATGGACAGCAGCAACAACAAAAAGTTTGGGGTTCTTGTCTTTTTAATCAATTTCCACTGGCACGCCCCCTATTCGACCAGACGCTGCCGGGCAATCCTTTTGCTTCCACGAGCCCCATTCCTACCAAAGGGTTTTCGAATGAGGGTCCTTACTTCCTATTTCGTTGGCTGTTTGCCATCCTTTTACGAGTTTTATTTGCATTTAAACTGGGCTTAAACCGCTGTGATGCGAAATTGAAATATCGTCATCATCATCAATAGTGACCAGCCATACTATATATTTCATTCAAAGTTCGAGATGCGAAACTTGTTGCAGCATCTTTGACTAGATAGTACTCCCCTACACTGTGCAACAATTGTATTTTGCACGAGACAAAAATATGGTTGTGGGCCTGGATGAGTTTTTGGATCCCAGCATTACACTTAGAATTTGCAATACACCCCCAAAATCTTTTTTACCAATTACAGACACGTGATTTGCGACTTAACTCGACATTTTCTGCGCCGAAGTCCTAAGGAAATGAGTGGAAATGAATTTTATTACCTGTCGAAGGGTTTTTTACTCGTGTCGATACAATGGCTGTACTTTAAGTTATCAAATATTGGATAATTATTTTCCAGCGAATATCAAGTGTTCGTTGTATGGCAGAACACTTGCATTATGGCACTTTGCCCAAGAGCTTTCGCTTACACAATGTAAAAGTTGTAAAGCAGTGCAAAGCTTTGATGGAAAACATATCCCAAGCGCTTTAACCAAGTAACGTAGATGTAATGTAAAATTACACAAGCTTTTGGATGGGACTGTAAGCGCAAAACTTCAGCTGTTATTTGACAGTAGCCGATGGAGCTTTTGGTAGACCCATGTACACACAGAAGGAGCGACTCTCGTAACAGGAAAATACTCGTATGTATGGGAAACGTGGAGAACTCTAGCGAAATTTCGGAATAAAAATGATGAAACCCTTTAGACATTCTTCCGTAGAGATCCCCCTGACTACGCCCCTGCTCAGGACAGGACATTCCTCATTTGCCTGCCATTAAAATATGCGGAATAATCATAAATAATCTGCCAGAACACTAGATAAACCATTCGCCCGATGCCACGCCCAGTGGGTCAGTCCGGACATTTATCATATTTCTGGCCCACTCGAAATGTTTTTGGCAACAATAACAGACGCCGCAGCAAGTTCCCCCCTCCTGCCATTGGTGAAGGGTAGGGGACAGGATAGGCTATGGTGATTACAGACGTTGATAATAAAGTAAAAATTGCAACAATGAACGCATAGACATTATGTCCAAGGTAGTCAGCAAGGCAGGGCAAAGCAACGACGCCCACACGTAGCAGAGGGCCATAAAAGGCTCGTAATCAACGTGAAACTGCGACGCACACGCACCCATCTACGACTCCTTTCGTCCTTCCTTCCTCAGATGGTGTGCGAGTGTCCTCTGCCGGACATCGCTGCTCTGGTGCTTTGGTGCTCCTGTGGCTTTCCCATTTTTGGCAAAACGAAAATTGTCTGCAATGCTGCACTAATGTCATCAGGGCGTATGCGTAACTATGTGAGGTGAGGAGGCGAATGGCGAATGGCGAGTGTCCAGTGTCGAGTGTCGAGTGGGTTCAAGGCAGTCGAGCAGGCAGCTGGGGCTTAGGGTTGTGCTGAGTGGTGTTTTCTGTTACGTTTCAACTGTATCCATTAATTCCGGGCAGCTGGCAGAAAGGATGTGTGTGCTCATGTGTGTGTATCCTGCTGAATAATTAAAGAAGCTGTCAGGCAGCTAAAACTTCGCCGTGTCCTGTCCTGTTCCTGTCCCTGTCCCTGTTTTTGTCCCTGTTCTGCCCCGCCTTTGATGTGGCTGCCACATAATTGGAAAATATTTGCTGCACTCCTGCACACAGCGACACAGACACACAC